GGCTTGCGGGGGCGCTAACCTGTCTTCTACTCTGCTCTGTCTTCTGTATCCCGCTCCCCGCCCCCAATCTCCTCCTCCCCCTCAACACCTTCCTCACACTGCAGGGTTACCCTCGATCCCTCTAAACGGCAAAACTCTAACCGCTGCGTCTCGGGCGCCTCTCTGCCCCAGGGATCGAAGATCAGTAAGTCCCATCTCCCCACTCTATCTTCCCCGTCACCCTCCCACCCCCGCATCTGCACGCGTCTGGCCTCTGCGTGCAGGGGCGGGACTCCGTGGGTATGAGTGGGGTCGCATCTGGTTGTTCCCCGTCTCATTGAAAGGACAGCAGGATGTCCTCCCAAGCGAGGTACGCAGGGTTCTGAGCCCAGCCCCGCTGTGTGGCCTGGGGCCAGTCAACCTCTCTGAACCTCGCTGCTTCTCTGCAAAGGATTAAACATGGTTGTCTATCAACCTAGAGCTGAGAACACTGCCTTGGGAAATGCGGTGCAACTGTTTGCTATGAGTGTCATTCCTTGAGCGCCTACTGTGTACCTGGCCCCATCATAGGACCCTCGGGTAGAGAATAAACACAACACATGCCCTGCCCTGATGGAGCCGGCATTGCACTACCAGAGGGCCCAGACTAATAGACTAGTAAAACCTATTGTCCAGTCCACGCGGCTCCTAGCGACCCTGTAGGACAGATTACAATGTCCCCAGTGGGGCTTCTAAGACTCGAATGCTCACGGAAGCAGACTGCCACACCTTTCTCCCATGGACCGTTTGGTGGGTTCAAGCTACCAACCACTGGATTAGCCGCTGGGGGCTTTAAACACTCAGTCACCAGGGCACCTGAGACTAATGAGCAAAACACAAGACTGCCCGGGAGGGACAAGTATTAAGAAGAAACATACGGACCGGAAGAGGTTAGGGGTGTGGAGAAGGAAAGGGGGTGGTTTAAGGGGGGGCACGTGAGCAGAACTTTGAGGGAGCAGAGTGAATGTGTGTGTGTCTCACCCCGTCACCCCGTCTCTCTCTTTAACACGTACCTCTGCTCACCCTTGTCTCTTTCATCCCCCACGTTTTTCAGTATCTTTCCTATGACCCTCACTAACCACCTCCAGGGGGGGCATTCTGAGTATGGAAAACAGGATGAAGTTCAGCCCAAGTGGACCCTCCCCAGCCCAGCCCACCTCACCTGGGGGGAGTGGGACTGTGGCGAGGACTTCCCTAGCCCTGGGTTGGGGAAGGGGGGAATCCCTTGTGCTCAGAATACACATTCTGCTGCCACTCCTCCTAGGGTCGCAGACGAACCTGAGAGAATCGGGGGACCTGAGGTCACAAGGTGAGTCGCGCATCTCTGCCCCTGGCTGCCAACAAGCCGCTTCGATGGTGCCTGAGCTGCGTCCTCCAAGGCCAGCTACTGTTAAAGTTCTAATAGAACTTTCCAATCTCAGGGCTGAGTCTCACTGGCTAGAACGCAGTCACGTGCCTCCCCTCCACCGCCGCAGATCTGGGTTATATGCCCAGTCAGGGCAGGTGGCAGGCTCTCATTGGCCAGAACCGAGTCATGTGCTTACCTTTTCTGCATAAGGGGTACAGGTAGTAACCCCAACCGGAAGCCGAGGAGAGACTGAGGTTGCACGCAGCTCCAGACCCCCTGGGAGCTTCATCAGGACGTTTGTGCGGGGGCCTGCACTTGCGCTGTGGAGCCACCATCATTCCCAACACCACCACCTCCACACAAATACCAGTCGTGTTCCCATCCCCAAAATGTTGTGTCTGTCAAAAATGTCCCCCCCCCCCCCCCATCAGATTTAGAGACACGGGACCATGAAATGCCTCATGGGTCACGGGAATTTTGTACATTTTCGGTTACGGTAACTTAAAAAAAATAAGTCGATTCCAATTCAGCCAGCGTGCAGGGCAGTGTAGAACCGCCCCGTAGGGTTTTTATGCTGCACTCTTCAGGGCAGCAGGCTGCCTCCCCGCAGAGAGGCTGGTAGGAAACCTCCCCCCGGAAGTTCAGGGGAACTTCCTGACTTAAGAATCTTGTGTTAAATCCTGAGGAATTCCCACGTACCATTTTGGGGGGACATACCACTCCCAGTGATAAGCCTTGGTCTCCAGTGAGGAGGTTCTGCCTTTCAGGGAAAAGGCTTGGAAGATATTTGCCCGGAAGAAGTGCGTATTAGCAAGCTCAGCTGCTGTGACAAAGAGCCCCCCAAATATGGCGGTTTAAAGAAGATAGGGAAGGCAGTGGGGCGTCAGCAGTCCTCCCAGGAACCTATGTTCAATTCCGGGCCAAAGCACCCATCTTATCAGTGGAGGCTTGTGTGCTATTATGCTAACAGGTCTCAGTGGAACTTCTGGACTGAGGATAAGACTAGGAAGGAACGCATGTCAATCGGACTTCCGACAATTCATCCGTGACAATCGTATGGCTCCTCAGGGTCTGACTTGCTGTTGATGCAGGGGACAGTGCCACAGCACCAGACAGGGCGTCAAGGGAAGACATACAAAATTTCTCTCTCACAAACTGCCCAGAACTGGTCTGTGTGGTCGTGGGGCTCTGCAGGGCCCTTCCACCTGATTCCCCACCCCTGCGTCTCATCATCTGGACGGTGGGCTGTGGCTCACGAGTGGGACAGAATCCAGGGCACCCAGCTTCCTTTTAAGAAGGTGACGGGGACATCCCAGAAGTGAGAGACCTGGCCCCCCACCAGGGAGGCCAGGGAACAGAATCTCGTGTCACTCAGGCGAAAGGGGAATAGATTTGGAGAAACAAATGCACAGCAACTCATGTATAAGAGGAAGTTTTATGTAAAGAAAATGTGCATCACGAAAACATCCCA